GGTCTGGTCCGTCCACAGTTTTAAGGACCGGTTTTCAGGACCGCGGACGGACCGGACTGGACTTACACATCCCTAGTTTAGATGTCTCAAATAGCTCAAAAGTCTCGAATCTCTCAACGAGCTCAAAGAATTTAATTAATAATCATGAATTTGATGATGATAAACCTTATGAAATTTATGATCCAAAAGTACTTCGAAGAAAAAAATACGAGAAAAAAATTTTCTACAAGTTAAAAATTGAAGCAAAAGCAAATTTTATTGGTAGAGGATTATGTTCGCAGGGAATTAACTGTAATATAAATTATTGTAATTTAAAGCATCCAACACCTAATCATATGATTAATAGTCATTTGATATCAAAATATAGAAAAGAAATTCATTCTAAAAAATGTAAGAGGAATTTTAAACTTGGAACTAGAAGGGCCATGAAAAAATACAATAATGACAAATAATAAGCATTATGAAGGGACGACGAAATAAACTTTATTCATTTTTTCAGAAAATTTAACAAACTTTACCATGTCTTCAGTTACAAATCTAATTTTTTAATTTGATGTAATTGTTATTGAATCGGGAATTGTTATTCCATTTCAATGTAATATTAATTTTCTAAATTTGGGTTGAATCCCTTCAACAATGAATCAATAAATCAAACAAAAACACTTGTGTGCAACCAAACTCAGGGTTGAAAATAAGGCCATATATATCACTTTGCAGCAATAACCTGATTTAACTCCTGATTTCGTGATGATAATTTTTGTTTTGAGGAAAAGGAAATTGCAGCAAATAAATATTTTATAGAAAACCATCAAAAATGAAAACTTCACAAAATGAAAATTTCAACAATTCCAATACCTCAAATTATTAAAATTGGTGCATTAATTAGTGCTCAAGGAAGTCCATTGCCGAGAAAACCGGTACATCCATTCATGTAAATTCTGAAGTTAGTCCTGTTTATTCGATATTTTTTATTTTCATGTATTAATTACAAAATATATGTACTTTCAGCGCGTTATATAAATATATAAATAAAGAAATAAATTTTATTTTAGAAAATTAACGATCTTTACTTTCTTTTCTATCGTTATTTTCATTTCAATGTAATATTAATTTCCTAAATCCGCGGTCGAATCCCTTCAACAATGAGATAAATTTCTCTTTAAATCAAACAAAAACATTAGTGCACAACCCATGTCATAATAACGCTAAACTACATTTTTCACACACAATAGCAAATCTGCCATGTAGATCACTTTTCACGATTTCATGTGAACATTTTTGTTTTTGTTGTGTGGAAAAGGAAATTTAAGATAATCGCAAATAAATATTTTATAAAAGCAGCAAATAAAACCATCAAAAATAAATCCTTCACAAAATGACACTTTCAACAATTTCAATTCCTCAAATTATTAAAATTGGTGTATTAATTGGTGCTCAAGGATGTAATCTCAAACCTATTGCCGAGAAAACCAGTACATCCATTAATGTAAACACAAAAGTGAGCCCTGCACTCATTGAAATTAGAATAAAATATAACTCTAATTCAAATTCGCTACCGCCATATGAAAAGAGAATTAACGAAGCAAGAGATCAATTAAATATTTTAATAAATAAATTGCTGAAACGTTCAAATCATTCGAATTGTTCGAATCTTTCAAAGAACTCAAAAACCTCAAAGACCTCAAAGACTTCAAAGAACTCAAAGGATTCAAAGAGCTCATATTCCTCTCAGAACACAAAGAACTCGAATTGTTCAAAAAGCTCAAAAAAGGCATTTGATAATGATGGAATTAATGAAATTTATGATCAAGTTAAAAATCAAGTTAAAAATCGAAACAAAAGCAAATTACAATGGAGGAAAGTGACGTCGGGGAATTGGTTGTAATAGATAGAAAAAATATATATGTATAATTTAAACTTGAATTTAGGAGGTTCATGAATAAAGATGATAAACGACAGGTCATTAAGAAAGGGAAGGAAGGGACGAGATGGCGAATAATTTGAATAATTTTTATTCGATTTTTTTTTTCGTGTATTAAATTAATTAATTACAAAATATATCGATATGTACTTTCACGCGTGTTATATAAAATATATAAAAAATATATAAATAAAGCAATAAAATTATTTTTTCAGAAAATTAACGATCATTACTTTCCTTTCTAACAATATGTCTTCTTCAGCTACAAATCTAATTTTTACTTTAATTTGATGCCAAATAGTGATAAGACTTCGACTCGTAGAATATTTTGTTGAATCATTATTGGGGATCGTTATTTCCATTTCTACGTAATATTCATTTCCCGAATCAACGGCCAAGTTGATTTTATCCCCTTCAACTTCATTCAATGCAAGATATTTGTTTTCTGATTTAATTGAAGAACCAGCATTCCATAATCTTGTATATTGTTTTATTCCAGCACCAACTTTCTTTATTTTAGCATTTGGATTATGAAGTATAAGCTTAATAGGAACGGTTATCGTTTCACCTTTATCGAAAATGGTACAACCAATTTTCACGTCGTAACTTACACTATCTTTTCTAAACTCATTCCATTCAATAATTTCGGGTTTATAAGGAAGTTTAGCATATCTGGTAATTGGAATTGCGAACTTTACAACCTTTTTCTTTCCTTGTAATTTTAGAATATTAGATTTACGATAAATGACAACTATGATACGATAATAAATTCTTCCTAATCCATCATCGTATTCAAGAATATTCGAAGAAGGTAAATTATTCTCAAGTTTAAATGAAAAAGGTAATTCTAATTGAGTTAGACTTTCATAATGATCTTTTTCGTTAAAATCTTTTGGATTTTTTTCTGCACTCCAAATTAATTTTTCGTCTCGAGCGAATTCATCTTGTTCCGAATGAACAACGGATGTCGTATATCCACGAGAATTCGGTTGATATTCCGTCCAAGTGATTTCTTCTTTACCAGAAAATACTATTTCAATCTCTTTTGCCATTAAAGGGTTTGTGGATGAATAGTTAATTTTTAATACTCCTGAAACTCTGGATGGTTCGATGCCTAAATAACCTTGTTGATATGAATATTTTTTTGGAGAGAAATCTAAAAACACTTTGTCGCTTTGTTTGGTTGAATCGTTGAAAGTCATTGTAATTTCGAGTGGGGGAAGGGGAAAGGGGAAAGGGAAAAGGGAAAAGGGGATTGGGTAAGAAGGAGTTAAATCACATTAATTATATAAGGAGCGTTTTTTTTTTTTTTGATTTTACTAAATTTTAAATTTTTTCTAAAATAAGATAATAAATTAAAAATTTTTTCATTTTATTTCTGTGTTACAAAATCTGTGTGACGATTTGCACGAATGAAAGGTTTTGGAGAATCAAAAGCTTAAAACAACCTTTTTTGTGCATCTTTTTGAGGACGAATAGTTGCATCGTTTAGGTACAATGGGAACGAAACGTTTTAACACGTGCAAACCCTCTTTTTTTCCTTTTTTTTTTTAAAAAAAAACGAAAAAAAGAAAGAGAAAAGGAACCTCAAAATTCAGATTCTTTAATCATATCATTGATACATCTTTTTTTTTTGTAAAATAAATAAAATAAAATAAAAAATTTCTCGAATTCTCATTAAAAGAATGTCACAGAATGTCACAGGGATAATTTTCTCCTAAAATTGAGATAATAGGTATTACAATGTTTATTTACCGCTATTCAATTTAAAAATTGCATGAAATTGTAAATTTCGACAAATAGATGAATGATCATGGCTTTACTTGTTTGATTAGATATCGATATAAAAATTTGTTTCCATAAATGGTCTCTATTATTTATAATTTTTATTGTTTTTTTGTCGTAATCATCACTTTTAAATTCAAATCTCTTTTTTTCATGGCTTCTTTTAAACGCAGTGAAAAAACATTTGTCTCAAACTTGTTAATTTTATTATGTACTGATTTTTTTTCATAGTATTAGAAATTTGAAAATGACGAGACAACCGTTTGGTTTGGTTGGTATGCCTCTAGGAAACGTTTACTTTCTTTATTTCTACGATATGTACCCGTTTTGGATTTTTTTTTATATTCAGAAAATGTTTAATAAATAAATAAATGTTTTACCGCTTATTTTTTTTTAAAAAAAAAAATTAAGAAATCTTTTAAAAGAAACAAGTCAATAAAATAACCGTTTTGACTGGAATTTAATTCGTTTATTACAAAATAAATAGTAAAGAAAATAACTATAGGAATCGCAAAGTTCATTTTATTATAATTTTAAAAAAGAAAAAAAAAATGGTAATGGAAAGCTTGGAATTCTACAAATAAAATAAAATTATTATAATCCTCACGAAAGGAAATCTATTTTTACTCAATCATAATCACGTGATATAATTTATATTAATAATAGGGATAATAATGATGAGAATAAAACGACAATAGTAATAGGTGCCGTTACAAAAACGATATTAGAATTATTATAATTACTAGAACCACTAGACTTGGCCGTTTCAGGGGAAGATTTGGAGGTTACTTTATTAGACTTGTTATTTGAAGAAGAATTTATTGTACTATTGTTACCCGCCAATTCTAGGTAAGGAGCGTTATCACCGACACATTGAGGTACAGTCATAATAGTTAAATTTGGAACCTTGGCAGCTCTATCAAGTACGAGAAGTGCGGCTTCAACGGTTTGTGGGTAAAGATCATGTTCGAGAACGATGAACCCAGTGCTCATTGTAGGGAATTTTTGCATCCATGTTTCAAAGGTATCTACGACACTGCTGATTGGTTTGGGAGGAGTTGCTGTGAGAGTCCAGTCGTTGCTATCGAATTCAGGTACCCAAAGGACAGCTTCAAACGTAGCAAAATGTGTTAAATTTAAAATTATTATTATTTTTTTTTTAAAAAAGTTACATTTTAAATTATCAACATACTTTTCAAACCACAAGCACGGGTAAGAGCACGAACACGATTATCAGTATCACCATACGGAGGACGCATATATAATGGAGTGACACCGATAATTTCTTTAATAATCTGGACAAGGAATCAAAAATTTTACATACTGTTAACATTCAATAATTCACAGAGTTTTTGGGAGGTCAATTAAAGCGAACCTTCTTTGTCCATAACAATTCGGCAACAATGGATTCATTTGAAAGGGAACTAAGTGATGGATGAGACCATGTATGAACAGCGATATTATGTCCTAAAAAAAAATAAAAATAAAAATAAAAATAGTAAATAAAAAATAACAATAACATTATTTGAGTTTTGATTAAAAGTTTGAAATTGGTCATACCAGCATCATAAGCATCTTTGAGAATTTGAGGGTTTTGGGAAACCCGACTACCTATAACGAAGAATGTAGCTTTGAGATTTAATTCTTTTAATTTATTTAATAATTTGGGTGTTGCTACTGATGGTCCATCATCATATGTCAATCCCCATGTGCCGGTCTTTGGGCATTGTTGAATATCATCTTCCGCGGTGAATTTCTGACAAGTCCAAGAACCTTGGTTTGGTTCAATTACAGTTGGGGCTTTACAATTAGCTTCTAGTTTGTTGACTACGCCACCATTTGAAGCCGGAAGGTTTGGAACTTTATTCAAATCCAAATTTTTTAACCATTCTACAACTTGAGGGTCTTTAACATCTGGTACTTGATCCATGGGTGGATATGTTGAAGTTTTTCCATTGAAATTTAAAGTGGCACTCGGAGCAGCAACTGGGGGTGACGCTGGCGTCGGCGGTGTGGGAGCTTGGGCATTTACTATGCATAAAGTCGCAAGAACCGTCGCAAGGAAAGGAATTGTTTTCATTTTTGATAAATTAGTCAGGGAGATAATCCTTTTTTAATTTATAAACTCTATAACGACCTGCGTCTTAGAAGGTGATCGTTTATTATAAAGGTTTAATATTTTAGTATAAAGGGCGAGAAGGAATTTGCGGTACTGAAAGGTCAATGTTTAAAGGGAATGAAAACCTGCAAAATCAAGGATTTATCAGTTTATAAGTTTTTATAATAAAAAAAAATTTTAATAAAATGACCCCCTATTCATTGATTTGCACCTTTTTAAATTAAATTATGGAAAAACATGTATTGTTTGATTAATTCAACTTTATTTTAATATGGGACGTACGACCTGTCCAATTATGGATTTAGGTAAATCTAAACGCGACCATTAATTCAAGGTTTCGCGTATTTTAATTACATTATCTTACAAATTTAATACTACTTATTATGATCACAATATTTCTAGAGATCTCACTTGTTGCAATTTTTGGATATACATTAATAAGTATATAAAAAAAAAAAAAAATTATTTAATCAGCGAGCTTGGCATCTAAATCGAGAATAATATTATTTTAATTACCGAAGATCAAACTAATCTAATTTAGGCTAATAAAATTCACGAGGAATAAATAATCGATTTGCATCTCTCAAAGTTATATTTTGGATTCTTGGCAAATTGTAAATATAAATTTTCGGAATGCCAAGCAATTTCTGAAACAAAAACAAAAATATATATATATATATATGTTTAAATAAAAATATTCTTACATTTTTTTATGTAAAAATTTTCATTAATCATGAAATATAAAGTATGTGTCATGTGTTCTATTTTTACGAGCACCAAAAAACATTTAATGCTTTTCGGCAAAATGATCATCCTTTGGGGCTAAAATGTCGATATTATATACGGGTATGATTATGTGTTTGAAAAAAAAAAATTCCAGCTATACTTTCTTAAAAAAAAAAAAATTCATGCGATTCATGAAACAATTTTATCTTACCTTGCTATTCTTTTCCGTATTATAAATACGATCAAACACATGCTAAAGAAATTTATCAAAAAAAAAAAAATTTTTTTTTAAAACGTTCAAGTGAAAATGTTCCAATTTTTGTGTATTTTGTTTGATCTGTCGAGATTTTTATTGATCAGTGAAGATGATGTTACGGGTCCCGCACTACATGAATCTGTGCATTCGTACAATATAACATTTTATTGCAGCTATGATATCAAATCATTAGTGACACTGATTTTAGTGTAGAATTAACGTTATCGTATCAGGATATGGGCTATCGTTCGGCAATTTTAGTCTATACAAAGTCAAAATTGTTTTCTATTTTCATCAAAAATAACAGCAAAATAGAACAATTTCAATTTTTATGAAGAACTCAACGCAGATATTATAAATAAAATTCGTTGATCCGGTTGAATTTTTTTGAGGGGTAAAACAAGTCAGAGCCCTAGATTAGGATTTTCTATTTTTGAAAAAACAGATCTTCAATTGGAACGAACATAATACAGACATAGTACGGGACGGGTTGGGGCGTATTATGGGGATAATATTTTTAGTATTTTTGCAATAAAAATGATAAGTAGAACTTACTCAGGTTTGCGTTTTCACTTTACTTATTCGGGTCAAAAAAAAAAGATATAGTCACGTGCTATCACTCCATAGATTTAATAAGTACATCACAGTTATTTATTTACCGATTATGTGAGGTTACATATAAAAAAAAAAGATTATGGTAAAGAATTATAATTTAGATAGACATCTAAAAGTATTTCTTTTGAACCTGTACGATAGTATAGTATCAATAGATTATATTATGATTACATCAATTGAACAAGTATCCGTAAATTATAACTATTTTTAATTAAATTATGTATAAAAATAACTTTTTTTATTTTTATCAAAACGCCAACTTTTACCATCAACTCGCGCGTAGCTTGGCAAGGATATTGTTATTTATCTAGGGTAATAATCAATTTGCCAAAAAAAAAAAAAAAAAAAAATGATAAAATAATAAAAAGTTGGTGTTTGCTAAGCATTTTTTGTAATAGATCCGTGTAAACCTAATTATAAATGTTTTTAAATATTATCGGAACATCTATACTAATAGGAACTTAGAATATCAAAAATAAAATCGGATTTTAATCAAATAATTTTATTCATTTAAAAAAAGCCTCATTTATTTCATTTAAAATTAAAATAAAAGATGGGATATGTTATAAAGTATGATAACAAAATCTAAAATAAAAAGAACAAAACTATTAAACGTATTACTTAAAATATCTTTCTTTAAGAATACCTTTATATTAAAAGACTCAGGTATAATATACTTTCAAATATATTCATTCTGATAAAAAAAGGCTAATTTGACCATATATTATACAACTTTTAAATTAGGTATTTTATCATATCTAGAATATTTTAGATAAAACAATATAATATACATATTTATTTTTTAAAAAATTATCTTTTATACTTTTTTAGTAGTAATCATCACTGGTGTTACTCAACAAATAGTAATTGAAGTTTTTTATTGTCCTACATGACCATGACATTTAAGAAGAAATGAAAACAAATTTTTTTAGCGGTAAAAAAAATTCTAAGTCCTTAGAATACATAGTAAAAATGAAAACTGAGGTGACAAATAACACATATAAAATAACATATAAATACTTAACACTGATAATGATCACAGCCAGTGATATAAAGTAATTTTCTTTTTTTTTATATTATTTACTGTACAAATAAATATTACTTTAATTAACTAAAATAAAAAATATATGGGAATTTGCTAGGAAAATGGAACTCTGAGCATTTTTTATTAAAATTTTAATATTTATTGCATTTTAATTTAACATTATCAAAAATTAAAATGCAATAAAAATTAAAATTTTAATAAAAAATGCTCAGAGACCCATTTTCCTAGCAAACTTCCATATAATTATAATTGGTTTTAAAATAAAATTAATTTTTAATCTATTATAAAAAATATAAAATACTATTTTAATTTATTGAAAAAATATTAAAAATAATGTATTATTTAATTTTTAATTGATTAGTATATTTGTATAAAACTAATAATCAATCTATTTAAATCAGGGTAGGAATTTGGCCATTTGGCCAGTGTTTGGCCATTGGCTATGGCCAAAATGGCCAAAAATTTTTTTTAAGTTTTGGCTGGCCAAATTGGCCAAATATATATTTATATTTACCAATCTGATAATTCTAATTCAAATAAGTTAAAT